GACGGTGCAAGCGGGTGCTGCCGCAGCGCAGCAGAGGGTGTGGGGAAGCAAGGCAAGCCCCTTTGCAAGGCATGCTTGGGCACCCTTGAGATGCCTGTGGCGGAACACAGGAGGCCATCTTCGTTTTAAATGATCAGAGTCTCAGGAATTAAAGTACTGCATTTACATTTCTTGTTTCTTTGAGGGGGAAGACGTGTTATCCTCATCCAGTATGTTGACAGGTGCATTTATTAACGTGTGTTTTATTTTCTGTGGGGAACATAGTGTTCTTGGGAACCTTTCTATGCATCTTCAGGCTTTAAACCTTTCCATGAGCGTGTATTCAGAGCACAGGTAGGATCAAATCACATTATTGACTCCTGTCTTACAGATAACTGCCATGTGTATTAAACTCAAAAGAATCCTACTTTTAAGTACTTTGGGCCTGATTTTCCATTGTTCTGATACGTTACAGTGCTTCACTTGTGTAAAGAAAAGTTCTTTTTCATGATAAAGGTAAGCATTCCACTTTCCTGCGCTGCAACCTTGACTGTCTCCAAACGAGCACTCAGAAAATGAGGAACAGGAACAAGACACTCGAACAAAGCCCGTGTGTGCACCGCGCCGGGCTGCGCGAGGCCCGAGTGGAGATGGCCATGGCTGCCCTCGGCTGCAGCGGCTCCTGGAGCTGACTGAGGGGCCCGGGGTATGGCACAGCCCAGGCACTCCCAGCCGGAAAGCCACTGCTGCGTTTGAGCCCTATCATGCAGCAACCACGAACTGAAAAACGCAGTGTCGATAAGTGTGACTTCTAATAACAGATGGTACTGAAAATGTAATGGCAGGGTAAAGAAAAATGTAGCGATCCAGGAGACTTTTAAAGTTGCATATAGAGTATCCCCTGCTTCAGCGTTACCTTTTCCATTTCAGCGGTTTTCAAACTTTTTGCATTTTGGGTGTGATGAGTGCACATCTTGGGAGAGGCAAAGAATGAAACACTATTTGCATTTTTATATTTGTAACTGATACACTAAAAATTCCCTGTGGAGTTCACCAGCTAAGAGGGAAGCTGAGCACCTGCTGCCCCTCCTCTCGCAGGGACTGCGCGATCACCGACTTGCTTCTGCCGACTGCCTCCGCAGCCGCCGCTGCCGCTTAAA